TTAAATGTTTTTTGTGATAAGGATAACATTTAAAACACTGCAAAGCTCTTATTAACAATCTAAAAATACACATTATTTGATATGAAATTTGGATCTTATGATTGAATTCACAAATCAATATTATTTTGGGTTTCTATATCTATTTTGTTTTTTAAAATTACTCTCATTATATAAATATATGATGCATACATTTCATGAGAATTGTTCTTTGGTATCGAGTGAGCTGAAATGTAAAGTAAGTACACACATTTACCTAAGTTTGAAATACCTACATATATTTATATCTATTTATAGAGATAGTTAAAATTATTTTATGTCTAGATATTACAGATACTACCACCACAATATCCCTCGTTAATATTACAAATAAATAATGTGAATAATTGTTTTTCTTGTTTATTGCGTACATCAATTAATGATAAAAGTAATGCTATTGAATGGAAAAAAGAGTTTGAATTACTAAGTTTAACAACTTATACTGTGAGTGGTTCTTTTCCTGAAAATACGCAAAAATTAGTGTTTAAAGTAAGTATTTACAGATGAAATTTGTCTTGTTAAGTATTATTCTATACTTGCCTATTACCTACCTTTACAAAATACCTATATAATAAACACATATATTTTCCTCGATTTCAGAAGAGATATCATTGCCATCACAATACTCGACCAAATTCGAAAACAATTAAGCCTCATGCAAAACATACATCATGTACAGTAAGATTCACCATTACTGTAAAGCAGAGCAACATGAAAAGGTAAAATAATATTTACTTATTTGTTGGTATAATATATATATTATTATAAAATATGCATTTAAATGTTGATCTATTAAACTAGGATTTTTAATTATTATGTAAATCATATTATATTACAGAGTATTTTTAAATAGGTTATTTGATATTTAATACTAATTGGTTTTGGTAACAATTTTAATATGGTTGCTAAAAATGTATGTCGTTCAAAGTTGTTAATTATTAGTAATTTTTAATTGAATAACTTATCATTAAAATTTAAATGTATATACAAATATAATGCTAATAGCCTTAGTTGCCGAAGCAGAAATTTATATATCAAGACCTATAAAAAAAAATTTACTAGTATTTATTTATAAAAAATAAAAAATTGTGAAATGTAATTCTTAATTGTGTACTAATTATAGGTACTTATATTTATAATGATAATTGTTATTTTTCAGAAGCAAAGATTTATACTTAAAGGAATATCCATGTGAAATAG